GATTTACAGCACATTTTGCCTATCGCGCTACATTTCTCACTAGCAAACCTTGCGTAATGAGGTCGTGACTTTGGCCAGCCAAAGTAAAAGGCCGTTACTTTTTGCGCCGCCTAAGTAAGAAGACTTTTAAGATCGGAACGTCTTTCTAATCCACGTGAAGTCCCTTGTCCATTCTTTTGAGCGACTAGTTGCCCCAGCATTTGTAGTTGCGCTGCAAATTCGCGTTATGCTACTGGTTAAGATCGCATGAGTCAAGGACTTCGAACTGCAAAGCCACGCCACCGTCAACATTTAGTTCAACTGGTGTTTTTCACACTCCTGATCTGTGTCAAGAATCCCATAGTATGTTTTATCTTTCAGCGGCCTGCTAGATGCAGGTAGGCCTTTGTGGTAGCCTGAATAACTTCAATAGTGGGCCAAGCTCCAATAATATAGAAGCAGTAGAAGTACTGAACCAGTCGCATGAAATTGTCCTTTACAGATTTGTCCTGACTGCATGACGTTGTACGTGTGTTCCGTTTTTCCTTTTCATTTCGGTCTGTCTGGCCTGAGATTCAGGTTTGGTTGGCTGGCAACGAAAAATAGGCCAAAACTAATCATTTTAGTTCGCCTTACTTCTGTCGATAACACAACACAAAAATTATTCTTTTTTAAAAGAAGAGTCGGTCACAGTATTAGGATTTTCTTTGCTAACTTCCTACATACTTCTTCCAAACCCTCAGTTTTGACTAGTTTTTTTCTTTCACACGACCCTTTCTGAAAGGTCGACAGGTTCCGCACCAATGAATTTTCGAGTTATTCCTTAATCCTTCGACTTTTGGCATTGAGGACAAAGCTCAGAATTTTCGGTCGCATATTCTCGATAGATAGGCACCCATTACTGATAAAGTCGACCATATTGTTCGAATCGCTCTTGAAGCTCCCAACAAGTGACGCACTGATCAGGGCAAATTAAGCTTACTTCTAAACGCTAACTGGGCGCACCATGACCGCCTGAATTTCCAAAAAGGTTTGAGTGTTTTTGAATAGTTTCATGCTTTTGCCGTCTCAGCTCCCTTTACGGTGATGATCACCGTAGATTTCACTTTCCGCATTATAGATTCCACCAGAAAACTGAATATTGGTGAGCTAGCAGGAGCGTCTTTTCTTTATTGACTGTATTTTTTGGCCAAGGAAAAGTATGTTATCAGACAACGATCAATGAGTTGGAGCAAGGAGTCCGCAAGCACATTTGTAATGTGGATCTGGGAATGTTTCTCATAGACCGTTTTGATAAGTCTAGGGGGACCTACGTGAACAGAGGACTCAGGCCAGATGGAAATATCATATCATCAATGAGGACTTTTTATCCCCCGTGCTCGTCTAGGAACCGTTTTGAGTCCAGAATGGAGGTTTTGGAGTTATTAATAAGCATAGGCATTTTGTGATGCGACCACTTAGCAATTTCATACTTTAGTGCACCGACTAAAGAGGCTACAAGTCACAGGAAGATGACAGTTTCCGAACTTAACGAAGTACCTGTATTCTGACAGACGTTGGTCCACTATGCTTCACACTTGACAATAACTCTTGAGATTAATTTCCTTCATGTGAGGCGTTCCAACACTTCTTAAGGATGCGAGTTCTGTAATTTCAAATGTCTGGTATTTAAAGATTTGTATGTTGAATTATCCTTTTACACCAACATCACCACGTCTTTATAATCTTCATTGTTCTGAATGGCAGTAGATCCTCCCATATCGGCTGGTAGAATTATTATGTTAACACCGTGTGCCCCATGGCATGGCGGGCGCAGGGACGGCGAATTGCGCGTGAACTGGTCTGTGGCGATATTAGGCTTGCGCCACACCTACCGCACTCTCTCCCCTCACTTACTTGAGCCCAGTGTCGAAGCAGAATCAAAAAGACAAGAGGTGGGATCATGCACAATGGTTAAAAAGCTAAACGGCCATCTACGCGCGACACATACACGCATGATGAACGAAGGGGTAGCTCGAACCCTATCTGAATAGGAGTGCCATAGAGGCCATGTTAAGAAGAAGCCATTACAGCCTGATACTCCTTCCTGAGAGGAAGACCAAGTTATTTAGCCAGTTGGCGGCCTTCCAAGCTACGGCCTTTTATTCACCGTGATAATCTGGAAGGGTGCCAAATAGTTTGTAGTGAGGAAAATACGCTGAGGGCTGTTGACACGGTATCTCAAGAATCGACCTCACTCCTCCCACTCTCAGGCACCCGTCCGCTGTCTGAACCGGTCAGCTGTTTGTTGCGGAGGTCTAGCGCAAGTGATCGGCGCGGCGTGAGCCTGCGCCTAGGCGTGCCCGCACACACTCCATGTATAGCATTCGTTAAGTTGCGTGGCCTAATTAACATCTGTTGTGCCATAATCTAACCGCCTTGTTGGTTCAGTGCATCTCGCGTTGCCTCTTCTAAGAGCAAAAGCCTTATTATACAGACATATATACGCTAACAACGGTACATCCAGAATAATGATGACTTCAATGTTCTCCATATAGGAGGTGCAGTGCATACACACGAGCCATTTCCAACAAGGAAAAGTATTGAGGACTCTAGAGACCTCGAGTGAGCTTCGATTTTAAGATCCTGCTGAGCCGTTGATTCAGTCCCATTTACCTATTATCTGCACCGGTTTTTACGCATCAGTTTGATGTTCAATCATTAGTATAATGAAGACTACATTGGACAATCTTGAAACAGCTGCCACCTCAACAGCTACTGTCTTTGTCAGTCTACCCCTGTTTTTTTTAGATCGCATTAATAGGAACTTAACGGCGCCCCTTCGCATCAAAGTAAAAACAGCTAGCAGTCATCGTTGTGCCAAGCATAATTTTTCCCTTTTCTTTATATTTATAACCAATCAGCAGTCGATCTTTCTCCTCTTCCTCAGTCACTTTGGTTTGACTGAAGAAAATACAGCTCCTAAGTTGGAGCAGTGACTTTATTGTAGATACCTAACGCTAGCATGGCCAGAGATGTCATCTCTCTCACCATCGAATGTTGCCCTAAAATACACTTCAACGCAGAAAATGGTCACAGTTGGACTATTCGTACAAGCAGTGTTTCTTTATGAAGTCAGAGACGCACACATCTTTAGGAGCCTGATCAGTGGGGACACTGTATTTACTGTTTAAAATTTAATATTTAATATTGCATTAAATAGTTGATACGGGTATTGATCACTTGTATGCAATAACTCACTAAACCCTCGACACAACTTGTAATTTTCAATAGCTAGAACACTCCCAATGAAACAAACCATGGAATATTGGAACCTCGTACGGCCAGCGCATGTGCACTGTGAACTCAGCTCGTTAGGCTCCTGCATACAGTAGCTTTGCTGCGCGATTTCAGCAGGCTGGAACAGTTTCACCTGGCACGTCAGGAAGAAAGGTAAATCCAATAAATTGAGCAGTTGGATAAGGCAGCTGTGATAACTCAGACGTAGAGCATCCAACATCAAATCGAAGTCAGTAATTCGTTCCCGCTTTGCATCAAACGGTTTCAGGCCGTATGAGCTTCTTGCCTCTTATAGTCCATGTCAAGAAAAATTCATCATCCTTATGAGTTAGTTGCCGTTCCTTAAACTGTAAGAACGCCGGAATGGGAATGAGAAAAATAAAACCGAATTAGTGCTATCAAGTTGAGAGGACACAGGGTAGAAAAAGCCAGAGAATGAAGACGGCGAGAATGGAGAAAGAGCAATAAACGGAGTAAATACAAATCAGAAGGGGTGGACGGAAGGAGAAACAGAAAGAGGATTAGAAGAAGTAGAAGTGAAATTTGAATGGAGGAAGTGAAAGAGAAGTGAGGTGAGAGCCTATAGTATATAAATACGTGTATGTGAAAAGTTTGGGAAAATAGAGTACAATAGGTTGATTGACTTCCTACATTTTGCTGGAAGAATAACTGTCAACATGGTGGTCACTTATATTCGTCCCCTCCCAACACGTTTATTCTGAAAATCCATCGAGATGTTGATATGGCAAAGGCAAAAGACGGCTTAAGTAACGTGATATTATATCTTTGGAGGTTACTTCAGAAGGGTAAAAGTTGAGCTGTACGACGGCGAGCGCGAGTGTTCAAGGTTGGGTAGACGTCAAAACACTACTAATGACAAACCATGTGGAACAGGGAACTCGCACGCTCAGAAAACCTGTTGCCAGACTGATTTCATCTATCGGCAACAAGACATCACCAGCGGAATCGGGCAGTCAGCAGTTCAAAACGGTCTCGTGGCGTACTGTTTTTGTTCTGTAGCTTCACTCTCTCTCACAGTCTTACCAGAAATGTTCGAATGTTTGAACTTATGGGCTACATCATGCTTGTCGCTTTTATAACAGCTAATTTTGCTCTGTGTGTCGATCAGCTGCGCTACGGCTGGGGACGGGAAGTAAGCCAGAAACATCCTTTTTAATGTGTCTGCCTTCGTCCGTAAGACTTGTCGGCACTAGCTTTGCTGGGAGAAAGGAGATTTTGCCAGTTCTGGGGGTCGGCCGCTACGGACGCTGTTGGCGTAATTCACCGGTCACCTGGCCGTATCGATTGCCTGCCACGCACAAGTTGACGATGTCACGAGCGCAAACCTGAAGGCATTTTAGTGCAAGTCGTGCTTCGACCGCGGGGCCGGTGCTGATCGACTGCGCAAAGGTCTGGATGAACGCTGATTGGTCTCCTACAAAGGGCTGGGTGGGGGTGGCCTTACAGCTGTTTTTCACCACTACTATGTCGGGATGTAACGGGATATTCGCACTCGTGCACACAGATGTGTGGACACTCCAGCACACGCAAACTGGTTGGCTATCCTATAGTGCGTACGTGTGTACGTACGCCGACCTGATGCTGCCCGGCGCTATTCCCGACGGTGACAGCTGCAGCAGGGGATCATTCGGCCAGATTGCCTTCCGCGTGTGCGATTGCTTCTTCGCGTTTCAGTCGCCTCTTTCTTTCATACACATTTCTCTCTCGGTCTTCCTTGAAACATGGACGCCATCAAGAAGAAGATGCTTGCCATGAAGATGGAAAGGGAGAATGCTATGGAGAAGTAAGTTTTCATCAGCATGCCGGTTTCCAACCGTCAAATTTAGGGCCATTAATCTGGAAAACCAACTGAAGGAGAAGGCCAACGAGTTTGAAAAGAAGGAAGAGGAGATGAATGAACTGCAGACAAAGCTGAAGAATGCCCAGCAGGAGGTGGACACTGTGCAGGAGTCGCTCCAGGAGGCCATAGTCAAACTAGAGGAGACGGATAAGCGCGCAACCAACGTAAGTCACTCTCCCTTGTTCATATTTTCAAATGTTAAATCTCATAATGAGAGTCCCAGAACGGGATGCGGGCCCTTGCGTGAGTAGGGTATTACGCGTAGCTAAAAGATTCAACCGGCAGATCTTGGGCGTTACTACGATGATCTTGCACGCGTTTTGCAGAAGAAAAGTATGCGCTAAGATAATGGACCAGCTGATTATGGGCGAAAGAATAGCTTGCGGTTAACTTCCACGCCAAACTTAGGGCACACCACTTAAGCAGTACTACCCCTGCCGCAGTATGCCAATTTTTTTTAATGAACCTCAAGTGTCTATTCACTAAAATGGGCCTCGGGTTTTCGTGGACCATTCATTTCGTCTTACTCACTTTTAACAGGCCTTCTCTGAATCCAGCTCCTGTGCAGCTTAATGATGTGTAGCAGGTTTAAGAATAGCGGTCTTATTTATTATCTTCCGATACTATCGGGAGGCTTCTAGTCTTGGAGAAATGTTAGGTTACCACGAAACATCCTATTGTCCCTGCTAGAAAATAAACTTCAAAGGTTGGAAGTTGGAGGAAGTGCCATTTCGATTGGTGGTACTCCTGGTGATGCTTATTTTATAGAAAAGCAAGAACGGACGGATGCGAATGACATACGCAAGAAATAGGCCGTCGGTCATTTTTATCCTAATGTTCCAGTTTAGACGCTTGGGGAATGCACTAGGAAGGAAGTTGTTCTGTCCTTTGTAGGTGGTTCTTTTCGGGTTCGCTTTCTTCTCACATAAAAATCGATAAAACATCATGCAAAAAAGAAATAAGCTTGAAAATAGTCGTAGATTTCCCCTATACCAATTGATCTTGACTGGTATAAACAATAAAACTCGGGCCTAACGTATTCAGTAAGCGTCCGAGATCTGTCGGAAAGAGTTTTATTACTCAAGTTGTGACCTTGTTTTAAACGAATTTTCGAACACGTGACCTGGTATCTTAACAAATTCATCGACCTGACTAGAAGAAAATCGATAACTATGTATCAGTTGCGAATACATACCGGAGCGATTATATAATTTTTAAGATGTGCGAAATAAACCCCAAAATCATGAAAGTCATAGCGAATCGGCCAAAATCGTTAAAAATCCCTTCAACTTGAGGGTTTACCTAAGTAGGCTTCCAACCCTGATTAACACCTGAGTTGTTTAGCACACTATATGATGGTGGCTTCTAGTTCTTGACTTACAAACGACTTAATTAGATAATTTACATTTTCCAATTTTTTGATGTTGCATAAATTCAGCTATCCTGTCTAGGGCAGATGGGCACAGATTCCATGTTTAGACACCTTTTATAGAAAAAAACGTTTTCTTTTTATTTTGCACTTAAAATAAAAATGGCATCCGAGTTTTCAGATGTTGACATGATTATCCGTATCGTCTATTATATCCGATTAATTAATTCTGCTTTCGAGGTATGTAACATTAGATATATACTTCATCCGGAGGGTTCTCCATACCCAAATTAAAAAAATAAACCTTCGGGCCCTAAAGGGTATGTGCTGCGCGTTATTAGGACCCCGCGGACACAAGTTGAGTGTGCATTGTGTCTAGAACTACGCAGGAATGAGAGAACCTTCTGAAGACCGAAATGTAAACTTCTCTCATGTATGAAATTGCCAGAAGACACTGCATTGCGCAAAATAAGTGTACATATGAGAGCTTTGCATATCCCTTCCAGGAAATACAGTACAATTGGTACAGAAGTATACAAGCAGGGGGAAACACGCACCACCTATGAAATGGCTATTTCAGAAAGACGCTTAAACAATGTCAACATCCTGTCGTATGTGACTAAGCTTTGAGGTGTTTCATGGTAACTTGTATCAAAACACCGCTTAGATAATTTCTTTCCTTCGAAAGCATATTTAAAAGTTCACGTCAATAAGGCGCACATTTCGGCTCCCGTATATTGCCAAAGAAAGTTACACGTTTAGCGGGATGTTTTAATTTCTTACCAATAACCTGGACAAAACACGCGTAACTAAGTTAAGCTGAGGGTAGGGGAAAGAATTGTCTCGTTTCGGCCAATGGCTTTGAACAGCTCTCATATAGACTGTATTTTGCGCGGGGATAAGTCTGAAACCGCCATGCAGAGGTCATGAATATTTCCTCTGAACTACTGACTAGGGACTAAAAGGAAGTCAGTTTGGGCTTCAGTCGATGAAAATCATTGGCGGACGTTTGATTCAAATGAAAACGCCTGTGGCGTTCATGCAAAACACGCTATTTTTTACTGATTATAGTCTATCCCTCCTGTCTGTTGCACTACAGCTGTGTCGAAAATCATGAAATATTGACCGAAATCCTCCTGCTTGAACTTTTAGCATTTATGGGTTTCGGTGATTTATTAGTGGGAAAAATCATTTCTAACAATTCCTGCGGTGTGGCCTACCAGTTAGGGTTTGTAGGCGTTTTCGGTTGATAGGAAAAGTTCACTGCGAAAAACTGCCAGTGCAACATGGAGTGGTTTCACCATCTTTTTGCTGTCATTCGTAATTACTTTTTTTACCGAATTAGTCGACGCATGTTCACCTCGTATGGTCCTTTCGCACAAAAGTTAATAGATGACATCTCAAAATAGGCAAGATTTAAAATGTCAATTTTAGTCTTTCTTAGAAGTCGCCGAACGATCAACCTTGTTACAGACCAACAGGTTAGAAAAAGTAGATTTGTGGCGAACGTACGCTTTCGAATAATCATCGCAATGCCTGGTAACTTAACATGACATCGCGATACTGTAAATCTTCCCCTACCCCATTTTAAACATTTATTGATCTAACCGCACAGGAGATGACTAAGCTACATCGATCAGTTTGATTTTCTCCAATTGGAATAAGGCTTGTTGCGGACAAGAGAGGATCCACAGGTCACGCCAGTTTCTCCCGAATGAATACATGGTTTGTGTGGTTGGGGGTTTAGTGGCATTGTAACCTTCAGTGTGAATTGGGGAAATCTGCTGTTTGAACAAGAGGTTTTGGACTCATGCATAAAATCGACATCAGAGACAGCGGAAGACAGGGGCAAGCAACACTTGAAGGGCGTAAACATTAGACAACTGAAGTTAGGGGCCTCCGTACTCTTCGCGAGTATTTGCAATTACGGGGTAATAACGTTGACGGCCACGTCAGTGTCATAAACTGCCGGTATTTCATCACCGGTGTTGATCGATGACATGGTAATTACTCGACCACATGGATCCTCAGAACTGTCCCCCGAACAGTGTTCAAGCGCGTTTACTGCGTTGAGGATTACTTGGTCCAGAAAATATCGATTGGCCGAATATGGGGGAAGGGTCGTCTCGCCTGAATGACATGGTTTAGACAGTTCGTGACATAGTCTGCTGTCACCTCTCGCGGGGAGTTCGGTTTTGTCGCACTTGAAGGCATGACTGAGTCCCGTCGGGTGGTCCACGATTTGAAAGAGTTAACGTCCTCCTTCCCCTAAGCTGATATGTGCTCAGTCATCCTCGTCCATAGCAATCTTTCCGTTTCGTTGACGTAATTGACTTGCCCGCAACTGCATCATATCTGGCAAGGATGGGAGACGGTTTTTGACGTGACTGCAGACCTTTCGACCCTCCTACTTTGGCTCCGAGTGTTTAACTCTCCCACTTTCCCGTTCACCCCTAACTCCCAGAGTTGTGAGTAGGCGACTGATGGCTTCCGATGTGTTATTGACTTGCGGTGGCCATCGCTAAAATCAAGGTTCCGTGCCGTTCGGTTTCTCGTCCAATCTTTGATTACACCGGTTGACGAGGTTTCTGACGGATTTATTCATTCTTAATACCTGTTGAATATATTGCAACTCAACAATTCTGTGTCCGTTTCACCGCAATGCGTCTGGCCGTGTCAATAGGTTGTTCTCATACAGATGTGCTTGCAGCTGCCTAGGTGGACTTTACTAAGGTGCAGCACTTGCGTGGTTGACTGCTTTACAGAATACCTTGGTAGATAGGCATCCTGGATCTCTGTGGCAGACGGGACCCTCAGAGAGCCCCGTATATTTGTTCTCTTTCTATTCCGCCCTTGTGAATAACACGTTTGAAAGGACGGGGTTCAAATGCTTTTTGAAAACCAATACCTGATTCGACGCAAGGAGAGCGACTGTACCGCCCACATCCAAAGACCAGACTTTCAGTCTATAACGTTGGGGGATCGGTATTTCCAATTATCGCAAGACGGCCTCGACTGAGTTCAAAATTGGTAACTCGATAACATCTTCTTAACTCCCTTGTATACCTTTTCGTCAAGCATTGGGTGTGCTTTGGAAACGATACGAGGAGTTGGAAGGTCCAGGCACATCCAAGGTGACTTTCCATTTTATCCTTTTCTAGCTCTTGGAGGTATAAGGTGGTTCTGACTGACAAAATCATGGGAACAGAGGTTGACAATAATGTGACATCAACGGTTACTATAATCTCGTCATAATCTTCCATAATTGCATTTCCGAACTCGCTTTGATGCAGCAGTCAGCAG